AGCATCAGCAAATGTTGCCTGTGCAGAGAGACACGCAGGAATGTGCACATGCGGAGGGGGGAGGGGTCACTACAAAACGCCCCCCCCCCCCCGCAAGCAGACAAGGACATCACTGCAGTGGGGGGGGGCGGTGTCTCCCGTGTCCTTTCAATGCCCTCCGGCTGCCCCTCCCTCTCGTCCAGCCCTCCCTCCCCAGTGATGGATGAGTTGCCCTGAAAAGGGGGAAAAACCCCAGGCGTATGGATGCCCCCTCCTTCTGCCGGGTGACCAAGGAGTGTGTGTGTGTGGGGGGGGGCTTCGTGCCTTCCTTGGCCTCAGGAGTCCCTTTGCTCACCGGGGAGGGGGCCCCACTTTATTTCCTGACTCCCCAGAGTTTGGCTGAGTGGGAGAACAGCAACAAGATTGTGTGTGAGCAGAAGCTGCTGGAAGGAGAAGGGCCCAAAACCAGCTGGTCCCGGGAACTGACCAACGATGGGGAGCTCATTCTGGTGAGGAAACCCCCCCCCCCCCCCTCCTTTTCCGGTGCCGCCCCAGCGCCGCCGCGGCGCCGGGAGGGGTGTGGGGGGGGGCTTCGTGCCTTCCTTGGCCTCAGGAGTCCCTTTGCTCACCGGGGAGGGGGCCCCACTTTATTTCCTGACTCCCCAGAGTTTGGCTGAGTGGGAGAACAGCAACAAGATTGTGTGTGAGCAGAAGCTGCTGGAAGGAGAAGGGCCCAAAACCAGCTGGTCCCGGGAACTGACCAACGATGGGGAGCTCATTCTGGTGAGGAAACCCCCCCCCCCCCGGCCTTCTTTCTCGTTGGCCTCAAGCACAGACCTATGCCAGGATTGGGCTCTGTGAGAGAGAATGCAACGTCCACACCTGGGCTGCCCCTTCTCAAACCCCCCCCCAGATGGCAGAGGAGGTGGGGGCTGCAGGGAAAGCCTCCCCCCCCCACAGAGCCCTTTTCCCTCCTGAGGGAGGCAGGGACACAGAAAGCCCAAACTCTGCAGTTCTCCCAAGGTGCAGATTGGGGGGCGGATCCCCTCGCCCCTCCTCCCCCCCTTTCAGCCCCTTTGCTCCCCAGCCTGCAAGAGGGCAAGAGCCCCCCCCCGCTCCCCCCTCAACTCCTCCTCTCCCTTCTCAGACCATGAAGGCAAACAACGTCATCTGCACGAGGACCTACCGCCGCAAGTGAGAGGCCTCCGGGCAGCGCCAGACATGACGACAGGGGGGGGTGGCAGACCGGACGGCCCAGGGGCTTCCCTGCCCTGCAGCACAATGGCAGCCTTCCCCACTGCCTGGCCCCTCTTCTCCCTCCGTGCTCAGAGGCCCCTCAGCCACCAGGCTAACAAAGCCCCTCAGAATGGCCTTTCTACCCTGGCTGGAGGGGGGAGGGCTGAAGCAACCTCTCCCCTTCGGAGACCCCCCCTCCCTGACTCCTCCCCCGTTTGCCCCCTTGGAGAAGGGGTACAGAGGCCGGCCTTGTGTGGGCGATTAACTGTGGAATCCGGGGTCAAGACGTGGAGCCTCCCCCCTCCTCTCCCCTCCGGGGTGGGACAAGGGGGCTTCCCTTCAGGTGTCCCTGCTGCCCCCTCCTCTTTGTTCCTGGCCGGTTTGCGCTGCTCCTCGTGGTGAACCACCAAAGCAGCAGAGAAATCTTCCTGCAGGGACCCACTGAAGGCCTGGCGTAAGATCAGCCCCCACCCCACATGGTCTCCTTTCCTTTTAGCCCGAAGCCTGTAACGTTTGTGAAGGTGCCTTCAATCCCCCCCCCCATCCGCCTCATTAAAGCTTTTTGCAGATCTTCTGCCTCCGTCCTTTCTCCTCGCCTCACCCCCCCCCCGGCGCCCCCCCCCCCCCCCCCCCCCCCCCCGTGCCCAGTTGGTGCCCCCCTCGCCTTGCCAGTCTCTCCATCTGGCACTTTGTCTCTCCTGGAACTGGGGAATTCATCCCCCCCCCCATCCAACCCCCATCCCACTTTTTCAAGCTTCCAGAGGGGGAACCCCAAAGGGCCTGCTGTTCCCTGCGATGCCCATGATGGGAGGGGAGGGTGGAACTGGGACCCCTGGAGTCCAGGCTGGGGGTCTTTCCAAAGGGGTCTGGACCTGCAGGATTGGGGGTGCCAGGCCTCGAAAGTTCCTGGCAGCTTTCAATCAAGGTGGCCACCCCCAATCCCCCCACCGGCCCACCCACCCCCCGCCCAACAACAGCAAAGACCCTTTGGCTGCCCTGACCGGCTGCAGCTCCTCCCAGCCAGGTGGGCCCAAGCGCTCCATCAAGCCCCCCCCCTTCCATTGCCATGGCAAAGCCAGGGAGCCCCTCCTGCATTCTGCGCCTGGGAGCCTCCGGCCTTTTCCCAGGCAACCCCCTCGCCTGCGGTAACCCCTCGTGCTCCGCTTTTCCCAGGAAGGAGAACAAAGCGCCCCCCCTCCTTCCTCACCCTGAAAGGGGCACCTTTCAGCCTCAGACAAAGCCTGCCAGGGCCCCCTCCCTCCCGACGCCCGGCAGGTCAGAGGCCGCAGCGCCTGGTGGGTCCCTCCTCTGCACCGATTTGTGGGGGGGGAGAGAAGAGTTGAGGGGGGGGTTGCCAGCCCAAGGGATGATTTGGATTTTATTGTATTTATATGCTGGCCCTTTCCCCCCCGAAGGGGACTCAGGGCGGCTCACAATTTAAATCAGGGAAGGGGGGGGTACAGACAAAAAATAAAATAAAACATAACAATGCATAATTTAAAACCCACAACAGTCATACCATTCGAGAAGGGGGGCAAGAACTCTTTAGCCCCAGGCCTGTCGGAACAGCCAGGTTTTAAGGCCTGGAGGGTGGTGAGGGTTCGAATCTCCACGGGGAGTTCATTCCAGAGGGTCGGAGCAGCCACAGAGAAGGCTCTCCTCCGGGTAGTCGCCAGTCGACACTGACCGGCGGATGGAATTTGGAGGAGGCCTAATCTGTGGGATGATGGCTGCGGGATGATCCCAAGGCTCCTGAACAGCCCTGAACTCTCTGCCCTGTGACTCTCTGCATCTGCTGACCCCAGCCCCCCCCCTTGCGATCAAAATGGGCCGATGCCTTCAGGCCCCATCTTTCCACCCCATCACAGAGCACCAGGGTCTCCCAGACCCCAGCCACAAGCTGGAAAGGGGGCAGAGAACCAGGAAGCTGTTCCAGGACCCCAAAAGACCCTCCCCATGCCAAGCGGGCTCCATCCCTTCCCAAATGACAAAGGAGCCTTTTCTCTCTCTAACAAAAGGGGGTAGATTTGTTCCGTCATTTTCGTTCTGAATCCAGGGGGATGGAATCTCTCCCCGTTGCAGTTCTGCCAAGAGTCCACCAGGGGCATCTCTGCTCCAGGACTGACTTCTGGGGCGGAAAAGGTGTGGGGGGGGGGTCCCAGCATCCCACGCTGTTCTGTTCTCTCGCACCCACCTGCTCCAAAGTCCCCGAGGAACTGGGGACCCCGTGCATCCCTCTGCCAGGAGGTGAAGCCACTCGACCAGGGAGGCTCCATGCATTGGACCCCCCCCAGGTCTCAGCATCTCCCCCCAACCCTTTCCCCACACTTGGAAGCCAAGCTCTGCTCCCCCTGCCCTTTGAAAGGGGGAGTTAAGTTCCCTTTGGGAACCAGGAACCGTCTGCGGAGAAAAGGCTCAGGGAAATTTGGCAAATGAAAGCTTGGTTGGTCTGCAAACCCTCCCCCATCCGAGGGAGCCCCCTCCCTTCCGCAGCCCCAGCACCCACGTTTCCTGGACGGCCTTCTGGTCGGCAGCAGAGCTGGGAGTTTGTGGGGAGGGGGTCTTCTGGGGCACCGGCTTGTGGAGACCCCCCCAGCTCAGAAGCTGCAACCGGTGTCCACGGGGGCATCTGCAGGCAGGTCCAGAGGGAGTTAGGCAGGGGCGAGTGTGGGGGGCGAGTGAGGGGGGCAACACAAAGCCCCAGACGAAGCAGACCAGGGGGAGGATGGGGGAGGAAGGGGGAGGGACGGGATCAATAACCAGGCAGAGAATGATCCGGAGAATCTCCTTGTTTTCCTTGAAGCAGAATTCAAGTCAACTTCTGCAGAGTCCCCCCCACCCCCTTCGTCCGAGTCCCGCAGACCCTCCAAGGCCTCTGCGCTTCTTCCGGTCCCTTTGCAGACAGGAGGCAGAGAAGAGCGGAAAAAAAATAAAAAGAGGAAAAGCAGAAAGGGGGGGGGAACGAACCCCAAAGTTCCTCAGCAGACACCAAGCTTGGCTGGGCTTAGATGGGGGGGGCTCAGAGCAGGCAGGTCCACCCTGGACAGCCCCACGAGGCCTGGAGTCCCATCCACCTCACCGCTAACACCTAACACCGACTACGCTACCTGGAAAAGGCCCTGATTCCAAATGCAAGGGGGGGGGGAGGCACAATGGGAAGGCACTTCAAAGCAAAGGGGAGCCCACTGACTCCACCCACCAGCAGCCGAAGGGGTCCCCCACTGGGGGGGGTCCCCCTTGCCGGGACTCCCAGGACATGCCGAGGTCCAGCTCCCCCCCCCCCCGGCCCGTCAGCCGCCACTCGGCTTGCCTGCAAGGCCCCCATCCTGGCTGGACTTTGGAATGGCCTAGAAATCAGCTGGGGGGGGGGTGGGTGCGTTCCCACGGCCCACGGGACTCCTGGCCCCTAGGAGATGGGCAAACCCAGGTCAGGACCAGCGCTGGGTGCGAAGGAAGCTGCCTGAGCGTTTTCTTTCCCCTTGGAGTCCTAGAGAGGAACCAGCCTTATCGTCCATGGCTGTCAGGTGGACAGGAGGGGAAACATCCGGCTGAGGCTCTGACGGTGATTTCTAGGCCGAGATCCTGGGGGGGCTTCGGGGCAGCTCCGACTCCCTAAGCTAAACGGGGGGTTTTCAGAGGCAGCCGGCCTCCAGAGTGTTGGAGACCTTTGGCCAAAGGAGGGGCTTGACCGCTCTGGCTGGACATCCACCGGCTTTTGTGCTTCTTAAGGCATCCTGGGCTTCCCCCCCCCCCTTCCGCAAGGTCACACACACGGGGGGGGGTGCTCCGTCCGCCGGGCTACGAGGTCTGGCACTGGACGTTGTGGCGCAGGGGGTCATCGAAGTCTCCTTCGTGGAAGATGTCGTTCTGGAAGCGACGGCCGGAGAAGTCCGGCTGGGGGAAATACTCCCGCAGCTCCACCTCCTCCATGTCCTCCGTGGCCATCACCTCTTCGTGCCGGGGGAAGAAGGACTGGAACTGGCGCAGCTGGTGGAGGGGCAGCCAGCCGGGCTCCGGGAATTTCACCTGGGCAGCAGAGGGGGAGGGGCAGGAGCGTGGGCAGCTGGAGCTGGGGGAGGGGGGGGGAAAGCCAGGCTCCTTCCCAGCAGGGATTGGGGACCAAGGCAGCCAATGGCCCCCCTCCTCCTCCTCCTCCTCCTCCACCTGTCGTTCAGGGTCTGCAGGGAGGGGGGGGGGGCGCCCTGGGTGAGACTAGCCGGTCAGAAGGCCTCACCGAGATGTCCCCGAAGGAGCCGGCTGGGGGGAGCCAAGGGCCTCCCTACCTCGAAGTGGATGACCAGCCTCCCCTTTTGGCCGGGGCTGCGGTAGACGGGCATGCCCTCGTTCGGAATGCACCGGATGTCCCCCGGCTTGATCACGCAGCCTGTGGGGCAGAGCAGGCAGGGGGTGAATCTCTCCCAGGAAAGGGACTGGCCCCTCCTCCCCCCGCAAGCCCAGAGAGAGCCCCCCCCCCAGCTGCTCACCGGGCCGCGTAGAAACCAGGAGCCTCCGGTTGTCCAGGGTGCGGATGACCTGCTTGCAGCCACACAGGGCGTCCACCAGCGGCACCTCCCGCCGGACGATGAGGTCGTTGCCGCTGCGCTGGAAGACCGGGTGCGGCTTCTGGTCCAGCACGATCACAATGTCTCCGGGCTCAAATCCGGGGGCCTGGTCCCCCTCCTGGTGGAAAGTGATCTTCTGCCGGTCGGCCATGCCTGCGGGGGGGNCCGGCGTCCTTTCCCTCTCCAGCACAGAGCCATGCTCCTCCGCGGCTGCTGGAGGGACTTTCCAAGGCGGACCAGTGGCCGACTGAAGGGCTCAGCTGCAGGGGAGGGGGCTTCTGCCAGGAGGGATGCAACAGCCCGGCGTGGACCCTCTGAACTGAGGCTTCAGTATTACTCTTGACCGGCAGCAAGTGTGGGCAGGGGGCCTGTGGGCATGCCCACCCACACCCCGCCCTCCCTGGCCAACCCACAGCCACCACCCAGCCATTTCTGGGATCTGCCTAGCAAACAAGGACCCACCCCCCCCCCATCCCTGCTTAGATGGAGTCACTGCTTGATTGGGGGCCAAAGTAACTCCAAATCTCTCCCAGGCTGGGATGGATTGTGCTTCTGACCCCCGGGGTCTTCCCCCTTGCCCTCCCTGCCAAGGCACCAAGGTCTTGCATTCCACAGGTGCCCGTAGCTGCCAAGAGCCAGTGCCCCCTCCCACGGCAAGGGCAGCGCCAGAAGGAAGGCACCTGCTGGCACGCCTCTCTTTTGTCAGCCAGCAGGCCAAAAGCAGCCATGCCAAGGCCTCTGAGTCAGCTCTGGTTCCCGATAGAAGATCTTCCAACTGTGCGGCTTCAGCCCTTAAAAGGACCGGCTGGACCGGAGGAAGGGGCTTCTCTGGCTTGGGAAGGGGCTCCTGGGCTGATGCAGCTAAGCGCCAAGCCAGCCTTTGGAAGGACCTGGGATCTATCGGGAAGTTTGGGGCAGAGCCCAACTCCCCCCCTCCTCCTCCTCTTCCTCACCTGGTCATGCCCCGAGGGAGGGGAGGTCTCTGCCCCCTTGGCCGAGAGCCGCCAAAGGCTTTGGCTGCCGTTTCCTTCACCCTGGCATCCTTATCAGCCTCAAGTCCTCCCACCAGCCGCCTGGCCGAGGCCCAGCTCCGCTTTTCCCAGAGATCGCCCGGCGGCTGCCCTTTTCCACCTCTGAGGAACTCGGGCAGGAACTGCCAGGAGCCCTCGGAGGCCTGGCATGTCCTCGTTTTGCCAGGGCTACTGGTGGCAGCTTTGCCCCTGGAAAACCAGCCCACTGGGCTGTGCAGCCTGTTGTCGGTTTGCTGAACATTTTATATTTTGAAGAATATTGTTATTTCCGCAGCTTGTTTTGTCTGTTAAAGTTTNAGGCTCCAAAGGAAGCCTCAAAACAAGCTGGCTGGAGGCAATTCTGGAACCCCCCACCCCCCCTTTTGCCCCTCCTCTTCTTCCCTCCGGCTGGATTTTAATTACAGGCAAAGCACCGTATTTACCGCTCTGGGAACGGTTGGCGCCAACTCCGCTCCTTTGCTGGTTGTCCTGACACCTCCAGGGGCCCCGTGGCAAACCCAGCAATTTTGGGGTCCTGTAATGGGCACCCCCTCCCCTCTCGGAGGGTCGGCTGTGGGGGTGAGGCAGGCAGGAGGTTCCCCTCCCCACAGGGGTCGTTCATGGCAGCCCCCAGCCGTGTGGAATGGTCCCCTGGGAGGGAGCCCAATGCTGGCCGGGCTGCTGTGCGGCCTTCTCTTCCTGGCCTCCGGTCAGAGGTGGAGGGTCCCCCGCAGGGGCTGGGGGGGGGGCAGCAGCATCTACTCCCTGCTTCCATGAAACCCGAGTGCTGGCGGCTCAGTTACCCCCTTGCTGTGACCCCTTCTTTGGGGGGTGGGCTGCATTCCGGAGAGTCCGAATCCCCTCCTGCATGGCTGTCAAAGGTGAGGGGGGTCTCCTGTGATCTTGGCTGCCCCCTCCTCACTGCGTGCTTGTGCTGGGGAGGGGGCTGAGGCAGGCAGCAGCTGCAGACAGACAGGGCCTGCGGGTGACCACTGGGAGGGGGGGGAGGGAGCCCCGGCCGCCGTCCTGGCAAATGCTTCTCTGCTGAGGGAGGGTCTCAGAATAGCCCTGGGGGCAAAGGACCCTCCTCGCCTCCTCTATGGCGCCACCCTCTGAATCCATGGCAGCGAAACCAGCTCCAAGGGCCCCCCTTGCAGGGAGGGGGCCAGGGGGCTGGGCAATCCCGCTACCCTCATGCTTTTCAGGAAGCCCCCACTTTGTCCAAGAGGCGGCCAGTCTCCCCCCCCCCCACAAGTGAGCCCTTCCTGGCCTCAGCACACAAATCAGGACACCCCTTTCCCCCCCCCCGTCCCCCTGGTCAGCCTCCCGAGCTGAACTTCTGAGCCAGCCTTTGTTCAGAGGTGGGAGGGGCCCCTCCCCCCAAGTGACTGGCTTCCCATTGACTGCAAGGGGGGGACGGGGGGACAGAACAATGGGCAGGGAGGGGAAGCCCACCCACAGGTCCTTCACAGGCTCCATTCCACTTCGTTTCCCCCCCCCCTCTTCCTCCTCCTCCTCGGCCTCCCAAAAAAGGAGAGTCTGCTTGGCCCATTTTGCTGCCTCGCAACCAGCCNGGGGGGGGGGGGGGGGACAGAGGGGCCATGGTCTAGGAGCAGCCACCCTGTGGGGCAAACCCTCGGCCCCCCACGGGGCAGCCCCTCTCCCCATACAGGGAGGGAGGGTCCGTTGCTCGGAGTTAATTAAAACTAACCCTGGTTACGACTGATGGGGCTGGGGGTCTGTCCCTGGACCGACCTTCCTTGGTGGGGGGCCCAGGAAGCCCAAAGGGAGCAAGAGGGAATGGGAAGCCAGCAAACTCCATCGTCCCCCCGCAGGGCTCACCTTTGTCCAGGTGGACGTTGAGAATCTTCTTCTCCCGGATGACCTTCCGGCCGTTACAGGCCAGGCACCGGTCGAGGGGCCGCACCCATTCTCCTTGGCCCTGGCACTGCGAGCACATGGCCTGGATGTGGTGCACCATGTTGGGCGCCAGCTGGTGGACAATGACCTCCATGCCAGTCCCGTGGCACTTGGGACATCGGACGTCCAGGCCCTCCCGGCCGCCACGGCCTGCCGAGACAGAGCAGTCGGTTGTTGGCGGCCCAAAGCCCAGGACCCTCCCCGCCTCTTTCAGCCCCACCCGATTCTGTAGCCCAGCAAGGGGAGGCTCACCCGGCCCCACAGCAAAGCTCCCCCTCCCAGGAGCCCTCCCCCCTTGTTTTCTGGGGATGGGTCTTCTCCATCAGCTGCCTAGTTGGTTGCCTGCTCCACCCACCCACCCCCAGGCCTCACCATCCTGCCAAAATCCGCCAATGCCGCTCAGGGCGCAGCAGACTGAAAGGGGAGCCCCCCAAACTCCCCCCCTGCGCCCAGCCGCTGGGCCCCAGAACCCACCGAGCCGGTCCCGGCTGAGCCACAGCTCCGATCGGCTAATTCCACCTCTGGAGAATTTTTGCGGCTGGTTGAGCCTCTGAACACGCCCAAGACGGGCTGAGCCGGGTATCGGGTGAAGCTCTGGGGCTCAGCAGCAGATCCGTCCTGCTCCCCGAGTCTCCCAGTGCGGCAGCCCCCCCCAACCTCCCCCCCCCCAGCCCTGCTCCTGAGTGGGGAGGGGGCAGCCCCGTGGCCCACTCACCCGCACAGCTCCGGCAGATGACGTTCTTCTGCAGGGAGAGCTTGCGGGTGGCTCCGTTGTAGAGGTCCTCCAGGGTGACGGTCAGCAGGTGGACGGCCGTCTTGCCTGCGGAGGGAGAAGCCCAGAGACCAAGGGCTGTTTGTGGGAGGGAGGGAGGGGGGGCAGTGGCTGCCATGACGGAGCCCCGGGGATTTGGGCAGGATGGGGCTTGTCGTCGGCTGCCTCGGTTTCCAAGCATGCAAGCGGGGAGGCAGCCATAGCAGACCCCCCCCCTCGGAGAGCCTGCAGCCCCACGGGACACAATCGGGGCACCCCTGGGGGAGGGGGGTTTCCAAGAAATCAACCCCCCTCCCTGCACCTTCTGGGCACCAACAGGGGTGGGAAGGAGGAAGCAGGGGGATCGGGGTCTTCTCCCAGGTCCTTTGCCTTCCCCACCCCACACCCCATCCAAGGAAGTTCCTCCCCAGCCCACCTGCCCTACTCGCGGCCGAGCCCCCTACCTCTCCTCTCCACCCGGGGGCCCTGCGTGCGGCCCCCTCCTCCGAAGAACAGGTCAAAGATGTCCATCGGGGGCCCAAAGCCGCCCCGCCCGGCTGCGCCGCCCTCCTTCATGGCCCGCTCCCCTCCTCGGTCGTAGACGGACCTCTTGCTGGGGTCGGAGAGGACCTCGTACGCCTGCGAGATCTGCTTGAACTGGGGAAGGCGGGAGAGGGAGACTGAGACCAAGCCCACCGCTGGCAGAAACCCACCCCGCTTGCCGTGCCCGCCTCGCTCTCCCCCACCTACCCGCTCCCCCTCGCTGGGGTTCTTGTCCGGGTGGTATCTGAGTGCCAGGCGCCGGTACGCCCGCTTGATCTCGTCCATGGTGGCACAGGGCTTGACGCCCAGCAGGTCGTAGTAGCCCGTTTCCTTCACCATCTTTCCTCCGGAGTGGGCCCTACGGGGGAGGGGAGGCCGTTGGTGTGGGGCAGCTCCCAGCAGGTCCAGCCAACGAGGCAATCAGTCAGACAGCCACGAGGCTCCTGGCCCCATCGGACGGCCCCACAGACGCGGAAGGAGCCGATCGGAGGGAGGGGAAACAGGAGGACCAGCAGCCTAACACTGTCCTGGGACCCAGGGGACCCACGGCTGGGTTTTCTCCAGCAGCACCAGCAGCAGCAGCCGCCGTGTCTCTGCCGCTGGGGCCCTCCTCCACCCAGCCTGCCTGGCGGACAGCTTAGTAGCCTGGCAAGGGAACCGGAGCTGGGCGTGGGGCTGTGTCAGCATCTCAAGGCGCTCATTAGCCGGCCTGCCCCACAGGATGAGCGTGTGTGTGAGCTTCCAGCCTCACAGGGCGTGGAGGGCAGATGGAGGAGGTGGTGGGAACACCGGCCCAGCCGGCTCGGCCTGCCCTACTTTCCTCGGCTCCTTCTCGGCAAGCCCAGGGGAGCCCCCCTCGCCCCCAAGGAAAATCACGGCCTCCCCCTCCCTCCCTCGCCCCCTCCAGCCCCTCCGCCTGTTTCCTGGGTCCCTGGTGGGTCCCCAAAGAGTTTCTGGGAGGGGTCCGAAGCCTCTCTGGGGGCAGCAGAGAAGGCCAGGAGCCCCTCCCTCCTCTGTCCCCAGGCGGCCCTGCTGCCCCTCGTGCCCACGTGCCCCACAGCCGCTTCCCTCCGGAGCCCTGGCAAGATGGTCCACCTTCTCCGGAGGCCGAAAGAGCCCGGTTCCCTGGAAACCCACGAGGCTGCCCGAGTGAACCGTTTCTCACCTAGAAATCTCCCCGGTGGCACCTTTGTGGGCTCTGCCAGGCAGCCAAGCGCAGGGCGGGGGAGGAGACGCACTCACCGCCACCACCGACAGGGCGGCTCTGCCCCGTCAGCTCTTTCGGGAGCTGGGAACTCCTTCGCCCCACCGCGCCCAAGCGGCCGGGGCCAAAACAAGCTCCTGATGCCGAGGGGTGCCCCGCCGTCAGAGGAATGCGGCCCTCCCCACCTCAAAGGAACCGCCGGGAGACCTCCACGGACAGCCCTGGGCAGGCTGGCACGCGACGGGCTGGCACGGGAGGCTGGGCAAGGGCCGCCCCATGCGCCAAGCGCTCGCACACTGACTCACGCATCCGTCGCAGAGGGACCCGTCCCAGGGCAGCCCCCCCCCCCGGCAGCCACTAAGAGCCTCTGGGGCTGCTAACCCCGGGCACCAGGCGAGGAGTCAGGGGTCACACGCAGGAGCCTCACCTTCCTCCCCACCCAGAGGCGTCATTGTCACCCTTCCAAATAAACATGGGTTGCCGAGTGAGTAAGAGAGGGGAGGAAACGGCCTCCCTCCAAAGGAACTGGGGGGGGCTGCAGGGTCTCCTCTGGCTCAAAGTTAAAACAGCAGTGAAGAGAGTGGGGCCGGTCCTCACACTGACGACCACTGCAGCCCCCCCCCCCGCCACAACTCAGATGCCTGGCAACCGGAAGGCCCTTAGGACGGTTGCAGTGGGGGGGGGAGGGGAGGTGTCATGAGATTCTCCCTGGGGATCGATCTCTGATTGTCATGTGATTCACCGGACAACTGTGAGGGTAAAGGGAAACTTTGGCTCCCACGGTGGTTTTGTAAGGGGGGGGGGCTACCTGTTGTTAGCCCCCTCCCCTCTCTCCCCCCCCCCGGGCTCCCCCTCTTTGGAGGCTCCTCCGGGGGAGATGGGGGGGGGCTGGATGGGAGGGGCTGGGAAGCCCTCCTAAGTGAGCAGCAACCTACTCCGCTCCCAGCTGGCCTTTGATCTCCTGGTGGCCCCCACTCCCCCCACCCGCCTGGCTTCCCCAGACACAGAAGAGGCCCCACATCAAAGCGGGGCCCTTCCCGGCGCTTCCCAGGAGTGCCGCTCCCACATCAAAGCCAGGAAAGCCTCGCATTCAGGGCTTTTTCTTCCCCGCGACGCAAAGGTGAAGCTGCCCGGATTCCCAGAGGAGACGGAGGGAATTTCGTCTCGCTCGGCCGACGGACGCTCCGCACCTCCGCGCCCCCCCACCGGCTCCTCTTGCCCAAGCGGTCCGGCCGCCGCTCCGCCCAGCCCGGGGAAGCGTCCGTGGTCCGCAGCCAGGCGGGAGGCGCTCGGGGAGACCCGCGCAGCCCACGGGGGGCTCCGGCTCCCCTTCTGCGCTGCGCTCGGCCCGACGGACGGACGGAGCTCCTGGGCGGGTCCCGGGGGCGCAGGCGGCACCACGGCTGGGAGACCCCCGCCAGGCTCCCCGAGGCTTCCCCGGGGCGGCTCCTCCCAAGACCCCCGAGGGACTCCCGCCCAGCCCGGCAGAAGCTCTCCGCCAACCGGGCGCCCCCCGTCCGCCCCGTCCGCCCAGCCGCCCCCGGGGACAGGCACAGGCAGCGCCGCCCCCGGACCGGCTGCGGGACCCCCGACGGCGCCCCCCAATCCCCCCAGCCCCCTCCCGCCCTCGGGACTACATTTCCCATCCTCCCCAGCAGGGACGCAACGGACCCCACGACACTCACCCCCGCCCGCTCGGAACTCTCTGGAATGACGGCCACGCCCACCTGTGACCATTGGCCAGCCTAGCTTCTCCCGAGGAGGCCCCGCCCCTCCCCCCCAACCCGTCTCGGGGAGGCCATTGGGCCGTTCTGGCGGGACGGCAATCCGCCCGGTGACGTCCATGTAGTCGCCTTTGATTGGGCGAATGTGAAGCGCTCCGGCTACTCTGATTGGCCGGGGTGAAGTGAGGGCGGAAGTAGCGCAAAGTTTGCCCTTCCGCGCCTGTAGATGCATTCCAGAAGTTGCGAGTTTCGGGATTTTCCATTGAAGAAACGGGATTTTGGCGCTGGAGGAGGAGCCAGCTGGGGAATTCTGGGAGTTGAAGTCCGGACATCTTCAAGTTGCCAAGGTTGAGAAACACTGCCATAAACAGTGCTGTGTCCAGTTTTCCCTCTGGTCCGTGCCTGACAGACACGCTGCCGAGCCCTGATTGGCTGAGGAGAAACTGGTGCCCCTATATAAGGAGCTGTCAAAAGCCTGGCAGCTGCTGCTCCTCCTGTTAGCCGAGCGGCCGCACTGGCTGCCGAGCGAGCGCTTTCGGTTAGCCTTCACCGGGTGTCTCGCCTCAGTCTGTAAGTCCCCTGGCGCTGGGACATAACAGCTGGCGACGAAGGTGGGATCGCGATCCCCGACCTGAGGAGAAAAGAGCTGACCAAGGAAGTCACTGAGCTGACCTGTCACTGAAAGAGCTGAAGCCGCTTGTCAGCGACGAGACGTTGCCTGACGAAGAATGGCGCCCTCGCCTGTTTCTGCCGCTTTTAAGGCCACAGAACAGCCACTGTAGGAGATTTTCTACTTAGAAAAACCCGAATGGTTCCTCAGGGCTGACGACGGTGGAGGTGTTCCAAACATTGGGGGGAAAGGCTTATTCCCCCTCCTCTTGTGGGGATGAAACTGCTAAGGATTGGATGGCTCCTCAGAAACCGCCTGCTGTCCCTTGGGAAGTCCTAGTAGAAAACTGAGGGAACCGCTGTCCTCCTGTCCCCTCTGTGGTGGCCAGAAAGACCTGCCTTCTGTGAGAGGAATCGGTATAAGAGGGAGAAGCCATGGAAGCCTTCCTATCTTCCCTCAGAGCGGCTGCCTTTGCTCACTGTGAATGGGAGAGTTTGGGAAATGCTCTGAGGGACAGATTGTGAGGTGGCACCAGAGGCTTAAGGTGGCGACGCCACTTACTGACTAAAACGGGACTTTCCCTTCAATGGGCTCTTGACGAGACTAGAGCAGCCGAAGAAATCTTCCTCAGAGGTTCAAACGATAAATAAACGCTTCACATTTTCCCGCCAAAACGGAGGCTGCCCCTTCAAATGCAGCAGACACAGCAGAAGAAGTCGGGGAAGATGAAGTCTGCTTCCTCAAATGGCCCAAGTGGCAGAAGAGACAAACAGCCAGCCCAGAATACCTGCCTAAGCTGTGGGGGCAACCCCTGAGGGCTTCAGGCACCTTCTACCGTCCTGACTGCTTATGATGTGGACGGAAGGGCCGCCTGGCTAAAGCGCGCAGAGCCCCACACAGCCAAATTCCAGGCCAGTAGGGAAGGCATCTAAAAAAGCCCACTTCTTAGTAATAAAAACGGGGGAGAGGATTGCTATACGATTAGCAACTATAGCTATCCGCCTGAAACAGTCATTGGCAATCCGTGATAAGAAAAATTTTATTACTATCAAATTAGAAGGGCCTCCGTGTGGAATGGAGGTGGGCACAGGTTCTTCCCTGATGTCCTGGCAAAATATTAAGAAAGTGGTTCCTAAATGGTCAAAAGCTAAAACTCAACCAGCCCCTTACTCAACCAAGGGAGACTCGTTCCCATTCTGGGTACCTGCCCATTCCACGTGCAGTATGGAAACTTTTCAGAGAACAATCTGAAATATTCTTTAACAACTATGTGGAGTGTTATTTCCTAATGATAAAAATATTATTGGCTGCATTTATCACGCGAGTGCTGCCCAAATCCAGGTTACATTCTCCGTCGTAGTAATGATACTGATAAAAGAGGTTTGATCAGAAGCTGTTGTGGCTCAGCGTTGCTTCCTCTGGAACCTCAGCCTGGGTGGGGTTTTCTGAGCAAGGGAGACGAGGAAAGAGCTTCGGGCTGGCGATCCTCCTCTTAAGGGATCCAACAGATCCTGCCAGGGGTTTCTCTTCTTTTGGATTTTCCTCTGCTTTGCTCAGCCCTTCTGGGCACCACCAGGGGTCTCCCGGGCTCCTCGCTTGGCTTCCTCTGCTCCTAATCAGCGCCTTGCCTCACTTGGCCAGCTGGCTGAGCTCCGCAGCCGCTCAAAATACCCAGCCGGTGGCTGATAAGGGCCTGGGGGCCCCTCTGCTGCTGCTCCTCCGGGACTGGCGGAAGGCAGGTGGCAGTGGCTGCCCGGGTTCAGGGGCCACCAGCTGCAGGGGAAGGGATCCCACCTGCTTCCAGCCCTTTGGAGAGCCAGAGGCTTGCTAATTTTCCAGCCAGCAGAGCCCCCCCCCCCGCCCCGTTTCCCCCTCCCCGGCAGTCGGCCTGTGGTTGTGAAGTGGGTCCGGATGGCGTGAAGTGCTTGGAATTTGCCTGGAGAACGTCAGTGGGGCTGAAGAGCCCTCCTAAAATAGGACTTCAGAAAAGAAAGCGGCTTTTAGCACCCCCAAAAGAAGAGGCTAAAAATAGGAGCGTATTCCTTTCAATCTCCCTCCTTTTCATTTGTGGGTGGGTGGGGGGGGGATGAGTAACTCCCATCTGGGAGCAAAGGAGGAAAACAGGAAAGGGACTTCCAGCCAATCTCCTCGGAATAATGGCATTTCCAGGCCTTTTCTGAGCGGGAGGCATTAGTCAGCGGCTGCCTGTGGCTGATGTCATCCCATTATCTGCAGAGGCTGCCAGCGGGGAGGGGGAGGGGGAGCTGGCCACCGGAGGAAGGGGGGAAAAGACTCACATTTTCTGGAGTCTACAGCCCTCCCCCTCCACCCTCCCCCACTTTTCCCCAGCCCCCTCTCCATCTTTTGCTGAAGGAGAAAGAGGCATTCGGGAAACTCCTCACAGAAATCACGGGGCGGTGAGTTCCACAGGGGAACAAATTAACTTCAACCCAGCTATCTCTCTGGGTGGGGTTGGCGGAGCGGCTGCAGCCAAAGCAGGACCCCCGGGGATCCCCCAAAGGGCCAGGGGAGACTCCTTCAGGTCTGTCCCTCCAAGGGACTGAAGCCGGGAATGGAGGGGCTTGCCCACCCACCCTGGGTCTCCTTTCCCCTGTGCATCTGCGGAGTTTCTTTCCTGTGTGTTTGGGGAGGGGGCTCACCTGCAGGGCTGGAGGGGCACAAAATCACTGCAGGAGGAACCAAGGAAAGCATCCCTCTAACCACACACACACACACACACACACACNGCCCTCTGGAAGGAAGGAGGTGCCTTTGCCCAGGCAGAGACCGTCGCGCAGGAGAAAGAAGCGGCTCGGGGGCCCTTCAGTTGTGGGCGGGGGCTTTAGCTGCCCCCGGCCTTATTCCGGAGCCTCCCGCCCTCTGTGCGGCCGGGGGAGCTGCGGGGGGGGGGCGCCCCTCACCTGTAGGTGGCCACTTCCAGGCTGAGCGACATTTTCAGGTGCACCAGCTGCTGCCGATCCTCCAGCACTTGCGAGATCTGGGCGCGCAGCGACTGCTTCTCCTCCTCCAGCGCCTCCAGGGCCATCTGTCCGGCAGAGAAGGAGACAGCGGCGGGGTCAGCAGCCGTGGCCGTCCCGGGGGAAGGAAGGAACGAAGGAAGCGGGGATGCTTCAGGAGGCCCCCCAGAACGGTCCAGCTGGGCTCTGGGGCAGGACCCCCCCTCCTCCTCCCCCACCGGCAACTGCAGGGAAATCCCGCGTGTCTGGCATGCGAGTGGGTGTGGCAGCCCCGCGCTCCATTTTCAAGCAGGGCCCCAAAAAGTCTTTTGTTCTGCTCCAGGCAGGAATCCCGGCCGGGTCGCTTCCAAAACTCCGCCTCACTTCGCCCCTTTCCCGCAGCTTTGGCCCAGCAAAGGGATTGAAGGGCGCAGGGCAGGCAGATCGCTTCCCCCCGCCCCTCGCACCCCGTTCCAAGACCACCGCTAACCCCCCCCTCCACACTCACGGACAGGGCGTGGCTCCCCCCTGCTGAGCTTGGATGCAAAGAATCTGTTTTTTTGGGGGGGGGAACGTCTGATTTTCCCAGCTGCGCCCCCCCCCCTTCAGTCTTGGAAGGATAAGAAAAGTTGAACACAAACTTTCATTTCTTTGAAAACATTTCTGATTTTTGGGAAGTGCCCCTTCCCAGCCTTTCCCACCCCGCCCCCCCTGCAGTCAAGGGCTGTATGGGGGGGGGGATTTGCATCTGCCAAGGAAATCTGCGATTCTTTCCAGAAAAGGCACCCAAATGCCCCCGCCCCCAGAATTAGTGGGTCCTTCACATCCAAGCATCCTGTGGCTCCGGAGACAGCCCAACACTCCCCCCCCCCACAAGGAGTCTATGAATGGAGGGGGCATCCTCTGGGGGAGCAGCCTTCACTAGCCAATGTGTGATTCCCACCACCCTCTCAGCTGCCCATCCCCAGCTGCTGGGTCTCATCCAGATGCCAAGGGCTGAATCACAGCCTTGGTTGAGAGGAAATGCCAGGCGATGCTGCCCCGTTGCCAGCCACGTTCAGCTTCCTGCCTCCAAGCCCCTTTTCCAAGCTACCAGCAGCCCTCCAGGTGCCACCAGCCCACTCTCAGGACAGCTGCCCACCTGTGACCCCCAGCAAGTGGCCATTAGGAGCTGTGCTGTTCCCAAAGGCACCCCAGGCAGGCAGGCAAGCGGGCGGTCATCCCCAAACCCTGCTGGACTCAGCGGGGGATAGAGACCCCAGACCCACCTGCAGCTTCTCGGCGTCCCCCTGGTGCTGAGCCCACTGCTGGGAGAGGCTCTCCTCCAGAGTCGTCTTCCGGACCTTCAGGCCGGCCAGCTCCTTCTCCAGCTGTTGCAGCTGCAGCTGGTTCTGCCGGTTGCGCTCGGTGGCCTTCCAAAGGTTCTCCTTGGCTTCGCAGAGGGAGGCCTCCAGCTGGGAGACCTCCACCTTGTAGGTCTCCACTGCTCCTTTCCAGATGTTGGTGAGCCTCTTGGCGTAGTCTTCCACTTCCACCGGCTGGAAGCAGGCGGGGGCCGCCCGGAAGCCGTCCAAGCGGTGGGAGAAGCTGGTCATCTCCTGGTCCAGCCTCAGCAGCTCCTCTTGGTGGGCCTCCACCAGCTCTTCCACCTCCTTCTCCAGCTGGGTGGCCTTCTCCCTCAGCCAGATGTGGGCCCGCTTCTCCTCCTCCATCTCCTTCTTGCTGAGGGACAGGAGCATCTTGGTCTCCTCCTGGGCTGCCCTCTCCCTCTGGCACCTGCTGGTCACCTGCTGGACCTCCTCGTAGAGGGAGTCCCTGGCCAGCTCCACCACACACTTCTCCTGGTAGGCCTGGTCCAGGGTGGCCCGGAGCGTGGCCACCTCCGCTTCGTACTTGGCCCTCCAGGGTGTCTCCACCAAGCCGCCCTTCAGGCCGTGGATCTCTGCTTTCAGCAGCTCGTTCTCCTCCTCCAGGAACTTCACCCTGGCCAGGTAGGCCTCCAGGCGCTTGTTGAGGTCCCACATCTGGAGGGACTCCTCTCCCAAGGACCGCGAGGAGGAGCTGAGGAAGCTCTCCATCTTCCAGGCGCCTTTCGGAGGCAGAGTCCAGCTGAGAGAGAGAGAGCAAGGCCTGCCTAGCGGAGGAGGCTGACTGGTGGGATGGGCAGCTCCGCACTGCTATTCATACGGAGGGGAGGCTCCTGGCCAAGGAGGCTGGGCTTAACACCTCCCCCCCCCCACATCGCCCGAGAAGAGCGGCATTCCTCCTCGGGAAGCTGGGTGGGAGGAAAGGAGCCTTGGAAATGCACCCTCCCCCCTCGCAGCTGCTCCCCCCTGACGGTGCCCCCCCCAAGAAAGTCAAGAGGCTCCTCAACATCTCCCTGATAGGGGGGGCTCTCCAAGTTGCCTCAACGTCTTGCTTCTCCCCCCCCTGCCCCGTGCCACTCCCCAATTTCCTTCTGAATCCACACCACCATGCGCCCATGGAAGTGGGGGGGGGGGGAGACCCTCTAAAGTACGTGGGGCAGAAAATGCCAAAAGAAGAAGAGCCGGAGAGTTTGAGTGGCACTCAGGCAGCTGTGCTGAGTTGGGCTCCAGGCAGGCTTTGGGGTGGGGGGGGTTGGGGGGTCTCCCTTCTTCGCCAAATGCACCGATGGCATCATTTGAGGGGGGGGTCTTCGTTCTGTGCACCCCACATACATGAATGCTCCTTGTAAGAAAGGTAGGCTTTTAGGACAGAGAGAGAGAGAGACCAAAGGGGTCTTTGGGTGGAGGGGGGGTAGTGGATGAGGAGTTGGGTTTCCAAGGGGGAGGGGCTGGGCAGGATCCCATGGAAGAGGCAGGGAGCGTCCCTTGGCAGAGGGCAAGGGCGCCATCTGGTGGACAGAAGGGCCAAGGTGCAGCCAGGGAGGCCACCCATGGAAACTTGGGGGGGCACCTGTCGCTCCGGAATCTCCCCCTTTTCCTTTGGATCATCAGTTCTGTGCGAATCCAGCACCTGGGACATTTCTAGCGATGGGGCTGGAGAGCAGGAATCTTCCCCCTTTGCAAATGAAGGGGAGGCGCATGGAACAGGGGCAGCGGCCAAGGATTGCTGGCTTTGGGCAGCCCTGGCAGAATGCCGAGAAAAGTCCCTGGAGACTTTCTTGCTTTTCTTTGAAGACGTTTTGCTTCTCATCTAAGAAGCTTCTTCAGCTCTGAGTGGGTGGCGGAGAATGGAAGCGCAACCGTCCAGAGCAAGCCGAAGAGGCTTCTTGGGGGGAGAAGAGAAACCTCTTCAAGGAAAAACAAGAAAGTCCATTTGCCTCCTGAAAAAGCAGTTAATCCCGTGCTCCCCCATCAGTGATTTTTTTTTTGTGTGTGTGCGCGCGCGCGTGTGTGTGTGCGAGCAGGGGGGGCTATAAAGATTTTAATTTGTATACAAACAAGGAGAATTGAAGGCAACTTTAGCTTTCAGGATCTGACGACGTCTCTGGGGATGGAGAGAAGTTCCAGACCAGCCACTAACGTTGTCATTACTCGCAGGAAGCCCACCCCCCACCTCTTTCTGGGGGTCGCCAAGCCAAAGCCCCTCCCTTCTTTCGGGGTGCGCTTAAGAGAAGCCCCCCCCCCCCCCCCACTCGCGCGGTGGCTCCGACAGCAGGAGACTTTCGAAAGCTTTATTAAGGGCAGGCGGGGACTTCAGCCTCCAGCAGCCGGCCGGAGATCAGGGAATCCAGCAGGGGCGCGTTCTGGCCTTCCCTCCGGGCAGCGCGCAGCGCGGGGGGCAACCAGGGAGGGCCGTCCTCCTCGTCCTCGTCGTCCTCCTGGTCTTCCACGGAGAGCTCGCGCGGGGGCACCTGGATGCCCAGCTCCGCCTCCACCCTCCACAGCCGGCTCCGCACTCGGCGCAACTGGCCGCGCAGCGTCTTGATGGAGCGGACGCACTCCTGGCAGCTCCGGTAGTCCCGCTGCCCTGCAAGGAGAAGAGCAGCCCGGGGGCTCCGCCAGCAGCCCCCACCCCATCCCTACCACGCCACGCCCCGTCGGTCCCGGGCGCAAAGCGGAGGCGGCGCGCGGGGGCTTCCAACCCGGCGCGCTGCGCTTCCTGGAGCCGGAGCCATCCCGGGACCTGCCCGGAGGAGGCGCCCCCACCGGCGGACTCACGGTCGTGGAGGTGGCGCGCCTGGCAGTCCAGGAAGGTCTCCAGCGCCTCGTGCAGGTCGGGCAGGTGCGGCGGCAGCGGCGGCGGGGCGGGCGGCGGCGGGGGCGCGGGGAGCAGCAGCAGGGAGCAGCCGGAGAGGGAGGCGGCGTCGGCGGAGAGCCCGGGGCGCCCGGAGGCCAAGGCCAACAGCTCGGAGGGCGGCGGCGAGGGGCGCGCGATGAAAGCGCCTGCCGGGGCAGAGAGCAGCGTCGGCCGAAGGGTGGGCAGGGAGCGGGAGCGGGGGGCGTGGGGGCGGCCGGCAGCCGCGCGCACCTTCCGTTTCCCGGCGCTGCAGGCGGACCTCGGCGCGGATGAGTCTCCTGCGGCTGCGGCAGATCTGCAGGCTGAGGGCGCGGAGGGCGCGCGGGAAGTCCCGGCAGGTGCGTCGGATCCTGAGCTCTGGAGCGGAGGAGAGCGGAGGGCAGGAGGCGGAGGGAGACGGGGGAGTGGGGGGGGGGTCAGCGGCCCCGGGAGCCCCGATACTTACGGCCCCGGAGGTACTGGCCCTGCAGAGACTTCAGCGCCTCCAGCCGCTCTTGCAGCGTCTCCAGGCTGAGCGCGGGGCCCAGCTCCCTCCCGGCTGGCTGGGGGGCCGAAGGCGGCGGGGCGGCGAAGTCGAGGGAGCCGGAGCCGGAGGCCGGGGGAGGCGAAGGCGGCGGGGAAGGCGTCCTTGCTGCGAGGGGCGGGAGAAGCGGGTCGGTGAGGGCTGCCCCTTAGCCTCCGCAGGGAAGGATCGGTCCCCCCCCCACCGGGGTTGCCCAGGGGGAGGGAGGGGAGGCTCGGAAACGGAGCCAACGCTCACCATCTTCTGTCTCCTCTCTCTTCTTGGGGAGGCTGCTGAGAGGACCAAGAAGGGTCAGCGGGAGCAGGCCAGGGTCCCCAGGGCCAAATGCCCCCCCAGCATCCTCTGGCTGGCCCCTGGCCCACCTGGAGGGGATTGCGAGACCCCCAGAGTTGCCCAGAAGAGGCCACGGAGTGGCAAGAACACAGAAGCCATGGAGGACTCTGGAGAGGGTTGGGAAACCCCTCATAAGAGTGGCTGGGTCCCCCCCCCAACCCTTCCCCAGAGACCCTTCCCATCTGGGACAGGGCGCATCCGGCCTCTGATCTTCCAACCCAACCAGTCTCAAGGAGATGAAGATGCCAACTGCCTCCCTTGGGCCTGATCTGCTGGAGGGAGGTTGGGGCTCCCAGAGGCCACTCACTTGCGGTTGCTGTCACGACTGGGCCTGCGGGAAAGGGAGTGGGGTGAGGGGGGTAGCTGCATCCAGGGCATCCCTCTGGAGAAGGACAGGGAAAGAGGGCAGCCCAGCCCCACAGAATGGCCTTTGGGAGCAGCCTTGTGAGGACAGGGGGCAGCTTCCATCCCCGCCTGTTGATGTGTGCTTGGGAAGAAGGTAAGGGAGAGGGGCCCTCTCCCCAAACCCAGCCCTCCTCCAGCCAAGGGGTCCGTCTGGGGGTCCCATCAGTACCTGCTCCCTAAACAGGACAGCCAGCTTCCCATCCCGCGGCCGAGGGGGCCGCTCTGAGTTGTTATGCGGCTGCTGCTGCTGCTGCAGATTCCTGCCATCTCCAGGAGGGGGGGGCGGCGGATTCCAAGGCTTTGTGAGGTCAGAGCTGTCACCTCCTAGACCCCCACCCTCCAGGGCCCCCCTCCAAGAACTCTGCTGATGGGACAGGCAGGCAGAGATCATAGGAGAGATGGGGGGGGGGGGCAGCCCCACTTCAAACCCTTCCAGAATCTCTGGCAAAGTCCTCTTTTAGCCCCAACAGCAGCGCTTAAAAGACTTGGTGCTTTTTCAGCCCCCCTCGAAGAGGTTTACAGAGTCAGCCTTTCGCCCCCAACAATCTGGCTCCTCGTTTGCCCCCCCCCC